GGAGGTAGGCTCCTCACTGTTTTTTCATGAATATCCCACTAAGTGCCTACCTGCTTGTATTGTACAAGACTTGATCCCTAGGGCCCTACTTTGAACTTGACTTTGAACTAATAATAATTACTCAGAACTTTTTTGTTTTAAAAAAAATTGTTTGACTGTACAATCAAAGCATTAGAGCTTGAAACGTGCTTCTGGTGTTTCTGTGAATTCATCATCTAGCAAATTACTGAAATTTCATAATTTCAAGGTTCTTTTTTTTTTCTTCTCCACTGCCTTTCTCCACTAAACGTATCATTGTGTCTGTCAATAAAATGCTAAAATCTTCAGACTCAAATCTTCAGACTCAAATCTTCAGATTTAAGATGAACAGATTCTATTCAATTTCAGTGTGAACTGAGTAGCTATCTCTTTTAACTTCCTTTGGAAATTAAATATTATGGTGCTCTAGCATAACGTGCTTAATGTAATTCCTTGTGCCCTAATCTTTAGGGAATATTTTCCTATATAAGTTTCCAAAGCTTTAATAATTACCTTAATAATCTCCTGCCTTCTTTCTCTACTCCTTCAAATTGAGCTGATCTTGCCATAGTCATTTTAACAAATATGTCATTGATTCTTTGGGAGGTTTGCTGGAGTACAAAATGTCTGCAAGATAAATCATGATGTAGGTTGCTTTTTACCCATTCTCCTGGACTTAATCTGATGCCTTAATTCTCACAGATATTAGGAATGAGTCTACGGCTAGTACTGTTTCTTCTTAGGACACACCTTTGGTTAAATATCACTGTGAAAATCTGATTTGAAAATGCTTTGATTGTGGCAGTGTGTTTTTAACATGCTTCTCATAAATCTCTACCATGACTTCAGCTTCCTTTTAAACTATTAGCAGTATAAGCCTTGAATCATCTCCCGGTATTATCCTTTCTAGTGAATCTCTAAGCAGTTAATAAGCAATAAGATCTAGAATAAGGTGATTGTACAGATGAACCCAGCAAACAACTCTGCCACCATATCTGATATACTGGGTACTGATTGCTGCACTGTTAAAGAGACAAGAAGTCTCAACATTATTTTATATCGATTAGCCTAGGCCTGGATTGGGGCACACGGTAGGAAGGGGAACAGAATTTTCTCTGTTAGTTGACCATGTTCTGCTCATACAGGGTATCTGTTTCCTCCTTTGGTCCTGCCAGCAATTATTTTTTTAAAATATGGACATACATATTGTTACTGACCTGAGAGTTCAGTGTCCTTGTTGTTGTAGTAAAGCAGGTAGATTCTGGAGTTGTTCCTTTGGGAACAGTGAAACAAAGACTATTTACTGTGTACGGAAAATAATCAAAGAAATAAGAAATAAGAAAAATAAGTAAGAAATAGGTTACCAAATAGCTGCCCTGACAAAAGAGGTGTATAATATGAGAATACTGATCAGCAAGGGGGAAATCTAATGCCTTTCCTGTCAATGGATGTCCAAGTACAGTGTGCTAAAGTCTGAGATGTCTAGAAGAGCCAGAGACTGGGCATGGCTGTTGTAATAGTGGTGATTATGTTATCAAACTAGGGCAAAACAAGGAATTTTTTCTGGAGTGGAGTGAATGGTGCGACAGGAAGATAACTCTGAGGAATGACTGCCTGCCAGTAGTTAACTCAAGCTTCAGAATTTTACACAGTCCAGCCGAGAAGAAAGATTGGGAGGCAGAGGAGAAAAGAGAAGACAATGACAAGACAAGATTCGGGCAATATTGGGTGAAATAAAATGCATATACTCCCCCTATTTCCTGTTTCCACGGAAAACATGGATTGTTTCCTTCTGTCTCATACTGGTGACAGATTGTACAAATGTATGTGGAGAGCTGGCTGGAACAGTCTGCCAAGGACCAAATGGGTAACAGTTTCAAAATGACAACAAAACAGCCATTACATTTTTGGTGTTTTAAGTCATAGATTTCAGACCTTATTTTAAAACAGGGGAAGTATTTTATGTTAATTATAATTGTAAAGAAATGTAAACAGAGAGGAGAATTTGTTTATCCAAAAAGAGGCAGGTGGTTACAGGTCAGAACTTAGAATAGAAGTTTCTTCTGTGAAGCACCCTGTGCAAATGAGTAAACAAATTAATTTGTGTTCCCCATAGCAGGTTGTGTAACTTCTTCATTTCAGTCTTCAAACTGGAAGGAGTGCAGCATTCATTGCAGGAGAGTGTTTGGTGGCCTAATAGGATCTTCTCCTCCTCTCCGTTTGTGGGGCTTGGTCTGCACTGCATTATTACTGCTTACTTCCCAGCCTGTTCGTAAGGTTGCAATCACATCAGGGCAGAAAAAAAAATACATCCTTTAAATGCAGGAGGAACTGGAGTGGATCACAGCCTATAAATTCCTGCTCTTCGCATTGGGCTCAGCTACCTAATTAAAGATCAAGTCAACTTCCCAGTGCTGAGAATCAGGATGAAATCTACCACATGCAAGGATGATGAGCCTATCCAGCAAGGAAAATTAAAGATACAAAAAGGCAAAGCCACCAAAAGGGAGGTGAAGCCACCCAGCAAAACTTGTGAAAGGCATAAGCTCGCTTATTGTGTGTTAGCACATAATCACCAGCACACATTTCAGACTGGGGGAACCAGTTCCCCTTATGCTTTTGTCAGCTCACAGAGTGAGCAAGATGTGGTGTGAGCACTGGTTTGGATATTGAGAACTCACGAATTCTAAGCCTGGTAATGACAAAGGATTACTGTGTGGGCAAGTCGCTGAGCCCCTTTGTGGTTCTCTCCTTGCAGCAGTGAAATGAGGGTAATATTTTCCACTTAGGAATATGGGGGTAGATTAATTAATGTTTGAAAAGCTAGTCTTGCAGTGGGAAGAGTTATATAAGAGTTAAGTGTTTATTAATGAGCACCCTTTTATAGAAACTACTTCTTACCAAGTGATATGGTAGATTAAGAAAATGTGCTCTATCTGAAAAATAAGAGATTAGGGTGAATTTGGGAGAATTCCAATCTGTTGGAGAAGCCCTGAAGTTCTGACTTCTTTTTTATCCTGGCAAACTCTTTCTGAAGCCAATGGTTCTTTTGCCCAGTTAAAATCATGATGCCTTTTTGTCAAAACAAAGTCTAACTTGCATGGGGAATAGGAAATCCCAGTGGTTTCATGTCGTGGCATTGCTTAGGACTTTTTTTCATGATAGAACATGAATTTGAGAGGAGGAAAAGTCTCGGCTCCAAGAAAAAAAACTGCTGGAAGCAGCAGATTTTTCATCCACAAACCCTACAAAGGGTTTGCAACTATGTAAATGAAACTCCTTTTCCCTCAGCTCTGGCTAAAAAGTCCCTTGGCTTCATTTTTAGCCAGGAATGGCTCAGCCTGTTGGCACCCTTGGAGGCCCTCTGGCCATTTGAAAGAGTTTTGCCAGTAGGTAGGGCCCAACTGCAGAATTACTGCTGCCTCAGCTTGTAGCAGTTCTTGCTATTTTTCTTCCTTTTAATCTGGTATATTTTGCTGGAGGAGGTAAAGTCTGCAAACCCACCTATGGCACCATAAGCAGCTAAAATCCCTGCAGGATCTTGTAGGGAGTGGAGGAAAGGCCACAGCCGTGGGACTTTCTGCAGGGAATGCAGATTTCCTTTTGTGCATTGACAGAGAAAGCTGGATGAGATCTATTTTCAAGGACACTATGCTTTTAAAATGTAGTAACTAGAGCAATAGAATTGTGGATATGATTTCAGGTGGTGCTGAAGGTAATAGAGTCAAGTAGATTTTTAAAGAATAGATATAGATATATAAAAAACTTAAATAGGTAAATGGGACTTTTTAATGGGTTTTTAGAGTTCATCATCTAACTTGGTACCTAAGTCTGCAGTAATACAGAGTCAAGCTTTGTGAGAGGAAGGCAGAATTGCTGAGCTACCAACGTCCAAGAGTCACCTCCCATGTCAGTACAGCTCTGATTATAAGATCATGATTTGAAAATAATTTAAGCAGAGATTTTTGAGTGGTATCAGTAGTTCATAACAGAAGCATGTGTTTTAAACTTTTATCTTCAAACACACATGAAAAAGAGGGATAGAGTAGGACACTTAATATGATACTCAAATAATCTGATAGGAATGTAAATCTACCTCTACCGAGAAATTCTGCACAAGTTGCATAATTAGGAGTTATCTTTTTGAAATCATTTAAACAGTGAGCAATTTCTAGTTGTTCTTGGGTTGATGATTACTCTGATCAACACCTCTTGCCACATTCGAAGTTTCCTGAATAAACAATGGAAAAAAAAAAGAGTGATTTTGTGTTGTCTCTGAGGCAGTCTAGGAAAAATAGATGCTTGCAAATTTTTCATAGGAAGGAGACCTTTATTTTGAATCTTAAGAAACAAAATGAGGCTTCTTAGAAGGGGGATTCTCTGTCCTACATCAAGTTCTTTATTAGGATGCTGAATGTGAAGTTTACCTGAATTACCTGCAGAGAAGTAGCACTGCTAAATGTTCCTTAGTAAGAAGCTCTTTGTCTTGCCTGGGAATCTGTATAAACCTATTTAATTACCCTTTTAAAGAGCACTTTTTTGGATTTTTTTTTGAAGTAATACAGTTTCCTTCTCTCAGAGACCAGCAATCAAGAAAATAGTGTCCTCTCTTCTCAGTTCAGTCTTCACTGCTCTGCACTGTGCAGCACCAGCATCCCAACGGGCTTTTCCTTTGATTTTATGGGCAGTGTGGTCAGTAATCGCAGCAGAGAGTGAGCAGCGGGGCCCTTGGAGACTGAGCGTGCGCCGCCCGGGCCTGCTGCAAGGAGTGTGGCTGCGTGGCGGGCGAGGGCTTGGCTGGGGATGCGGGGCTGCAGGCTCTGCCATCTTTTACTAAAATCCATCAGCAGCGTTTCCAGTAGGACTGTCAGGTGTCTCTATCACTGTTGTGGGGAAAGGGATGTTGCTCTAAAGGCTGTCGTCGTTGCTGCCGGTGGTCCTGATGCTTCTGCTCTCTCTTCTCTTGTCTCCTCTCCTCCCAGTCTGTGGCAAGCGCTACAAGAACCGGCCTGGGCTGAGCTACCATTACGCTCACACTCATCTCGCCAGCGAAGAGGGCGACGAAGCCCGAGAGCAGGAGACCCGCTCCTCCCCCGTCCACCGAAACGAAAACCACAAACGTGAGTAGTTTTCCTGTTGCCTCCATGGGCGCCTGCCGTGCGGAGGCTGTCGGGATTGTGCGGCTCTTTGCGAGCGGCTGGAGCCCAGGTGTGCAGAGCTCATCAGCTGCAGCTCGCCCTGGTGCTGGCTCCGCAGGTCGGGAATTCATTTCCAAGCCAGCATTATCTCTGCGGCAAGTCACTTTTCCATTACTGCTCCCATGGGGAGGAGGCGGTGAGGAGAAAGGGGAAAGAAGAGACGTCCAACCTGCTCATCATCAACAGCCTCCCAGTGGCTGTGAGCAGGGACATCAAGGAAAACACATTCTCGTCCAGGAGCTTCTCTCTGTTTTTGCCTTTGAATAAGAGACCTCTGTTCATGTCTCGGGTCTTTTGAGATCTGAAATTTGCCACATCTGTCCCCCTTATCCCTGCATCTTCTCCACAAAAGGGGTGTCCTCACTTGCACCAAAAGCTACTTCTTTATTATAGTTTGGGAAAGTCTGTGGATTGAAAAGGACTGATTGGGAAGGAGGAGTACTGGAACAAGGGGGAGAAAAGTTGCACACCTAGCTTCCTCAAGGCAGAACAAGGCTGAAAGAGACTTCTACGCTCCAAAGGACTCAGTTTGACTGTTCCTCCTCTTCTTTTTAGGCACAAAACTGGGAGTCAAGGAGACTGTGTTTTATTACTGATTTGTAACATCGTGGCAAGACTCTTTAGTCCTTGTTCTCAGTTTTGCAGCATGCAATACTGTGTGATAATTGCTTTCACCTTGGGATTTGTGCAGATACCTTTGTTCACTTACAAAAAGTCCTTTCCGATCACCCTGTAGAATATGTCATTTTAGTTGGAAGGAAGGAGCAATTTGGACAAAGGAATAAAATGCTTATGGGAAAAAATACAGAGACAAAACCACTTTAAACAACATTAAGAAGAATGGTAAGGAGTATGGAAGTAGGAAAACATTTTCTTTCTAAGCAGGATAATTGATAATTGTCCCCAGGGAGAGAGGGAGGGGGTTTCCTTCCTCCAAAGCATCTGCTGCTAGCCACTGTCTGAGCTTGAAGGGCCATTTTGTCTGATTCCATTTGGCAATCCCTGTGTTTCTGTCACTTTTATACTTTACCTTTTAGCTATTCATGTGTTTAGTGGTTTCACAGCAGAAGCAATTCTGACTTCTCCAGCTGTTGATAAACTTGAGCTGTCAGTGCAGTAAGAAGGACTGCTTGGGCAGGCTGGAGAATGTCACTATTCAACGAGTACCTTTTGTTTACTTAGAATTTATATTATCTCTGGATTTTTTTTTCAGTGTGTGTTAGTAGTTAGTAGTGCTTGCATATCTGAGAGGCGTATTGCAAGTTTGTATTGAATTAATATTGGTAATGGCCTTGCACAGATGGCCAAACAAAGAAGGATAGTGTCCTATACTCTTCAGCTGGTCACAGAGGCCGAGGACAGTCTCAGTCCTTATGTTTCTTGTGCTTAGAGATTGATAGGAAGAAGAGGAGCTAGAAAAGCTGAGGAGAGGTTAGGATTTTGCTTTTAAGCAACCAGCCTGGGCCCCTGCAAAGAGCTGTGATCTGTGCTGCGGGAGAGCACAGAGTGGGAGCTGCTTGGGCTTGTGCTCCCCCAGAGCCCATGTGATCGCCAGATCACTTTGGGATCCAGATTCTTGAGCAGAAAGAATCTGCCCAACAGCTAGCCAGGAGCCGGCGTGGGGCAGGCAGTGGCGAGGCGCATGTGCAGCATCTTCTCCTCTGGGAAGGTCCCAGATGCTGGAAGGGAGCTCTCCCAAATGGCTTAGCTGTCGCAGCGGCTGTTTGCTCCTTTTTGCCGGTTTGTTTGTTTACAGCCTTGAGCTCAGATCTTGCATCTTTGCTCTTTCACTTGGCAATATTTAATTTATGCTGCCATTCATCTTCTATGTGAATGCTAATTGTCCACATTGCTAATGTGCAGTCATTAAATGGTCCCTTTGTACAGGAGGGTGGTGGGGAGCCAGGGCATCAGATCCTTCCTCTCCTCTAAGAACTGCTAGGCCTGTGTTATGAATTAGATTTGACAGGTCTGCAGTGTTGCAGGGCTTGGGCTTCAAGAATCCTCTCTGCATGGGCTTGGGAGAGACGGAGGGAGGGAGGAAGGGGGAGAGGGGGATGCTAATCCAAACAGCTAATCCGCAGCCTCCTGAACAGGAGGACCAGAGATATGGTATACAGCAGGGTCTGGTTATTTGCTTAGTGGTGTGTCAGAGAGATAGGAGCAGCGTGATTTAGAAGAGGCAAGGCAAATCCAAATGAGCCATTCGGAATCCGTCATGCTGTGGGAGGTGAGCACCGGGTCAGCAAAGTTCAGGCCGACTGCTGCAGCAGGAACTTGGTGCCTTTGTGCCCCCATCCCCTCTGCCGTCCATGCCGCGCAGCGGCCTTGTGATGCAGGGGGAAGCAGGGCGAGAGCCAGCTACTGATCCCCTGGCTGGTGCCAGCTCAAAAGCTGGTGGCCTCTGCTTTCTTTCTTCTTCCATTTCCCCCCACTTTTATCTTTAATATTTTTCTCACATATGGACCAATTGGGATGCTGCAGTAAATTATCTGTGACTGGAAATTAGATAGGAAGAACTTATCTGAAACCAAGAGCTGCTGCATAGGCATGTATCAAAGAATGTGGGCTCACCCAACCACCAAGTCCCACTTCCTTGGCATATCTTGCTGCCCCAGAGTGTTGTAGAAGGTTTCATTTATTTACATCTCTGTCTCCTTCTGTTCTTCTCCCTCACCTTCAGTTTACTCTTTCACTCATGGAAGACATTTCAGCAGTCTTCCCCATCCTTTGGCTTTCCTGTGCCATCTCAGCCCATGCTCTGTTTGAGCTTTAGTTGCTTTATTTGTTTGTAACTCTTACCAAGCCCTTTGGTAAAGGGACCTATATAGCCCTTCCTCAGGACCCGGTCTTGCCTTTGCCTACACACACATTTATTTTTGACCTACTCTCTGATATTTTTACATGTGTGCATATGAAATTGTGAAAAGAAAATTATAGAAAACCATTTAAAAAGTAAGCTTCCTCCTTTCCCAAATCCGCCAATGAAAAAAAAATGGTCCCACACCATTCTCAGACATTTTTGTGCTGTGTTTTCCTCCACATGTTGGCACTGATAGTGTGAGATTTGTGAGCCTAGGATGCATCCAAGACTGCCACAAAACACCTGCTGTTCTATTCCATCTTGTCCTGTGAGTACAAGCCAGCTCTGGGGGCAGCTGGTGCTTACAGATTTTGAGAGAGTTCACATTTAGGAATTTCATTTCATCTATTGAAATGTGCATATAAGCAAATGGACTAATATAAATGTGCTTACTTCCTGCCTGGGAGAGAAGGATAGTCTGGATGCACGGAGGAAAAGCTCCCTCCCCTTTAAAAAGGAGCTAATTATTCATATAGGTGAGGAGTTTTCATGGGCAGTTTGCTTTGTGAAGCATTGGTTAAAGGCAGCTGGGATAAACAGCAACTCAGAGGTCTTGTGCCCATAAGCACTTTGGCCAGTGACATTCTTGCAACAAACTATGTTCTCCTGGCTGATGTTAGCCTAGCTGCTGTGTACAAGTTGGTCCGTATGTGCCATAGACTTAGTTAATGAGGATGCAGTTCGCTGCACTCCTGTCACTCTCCTAGCATGCACATTCAACCTGTAAGACCACCTGTTCGTATTATTTCATGGCATCAACCAGTTGTGCCTGCTTGCATGGCGGATTTTATGATGTGGATAAACCTCTATTGGAGAGTCCAGCCAAAGTTGTTTGTGTACTCTAAGCATAATTGGATACCCAGTCTCCAGAGATAAAAAATTAATGCGCTAACCTCAGTGTGCCTCCAAGCTGTCCTCCAGCTCCCCCACACAGTTGCCTTTGAAACATTTTTATTTCGATGCAGGCAGGGGGCTGGCCATGAATAAATGACGAGAGTCAGCCCCTCAGTTGGAGATGAGCTGTTTGTTCCTCTCCACAAGCAGCATCAATTTGAAAAGCTACATCAGGCCTACTTTCTCCCTGCCTCGGTGGTGATCCTCGCTGGGCATGATAGGAGCTACATCTGAATGCAAGGATGCACCAGGGCTCATCTCGTGACAAGAAACCCTGCAGCAGGTGCCTCTTCAGTGAAAATATGTACCTTGCCCTGATTTGATGTCTCATTAGCTTACTCTGTTTTTTTTCTTTTCCAGAGCTAGTTTACATTTAAAAAGTCAGGATAGTAGAAGAATAGGGATTGCAGAGATTGAAATTGTGTAATCGTTTCTACTCCAGTCCTCTTTTCAGCTGTAAAATATCTCAAACTTTTGTGTTTGTTTGTTGGATGTTGAGAAAAAAAATAGCTTAGAATTTGGAAACAATGAAGAGCCCCAATCTTATCCTCCTATGTACAGAGGCACACAGGGCTTTCAGTTGTTTTTTGGAGGGTTGCCTTTTTTTTTTTTTATTTTGCAATACTGCCTGGCCAGGGCCTAATAGTTGTCAAACCCTGCTTGAGAAGAAGCACCTATTAGTAGTTTTGGGAAAGTATTTCCACCTTGATTAAATAATTTTTTTTTGAAAAACGTGTATTGCTTTGGTAGCATGTCAGCTCTTGAGATATGAATGGTAACGTTTATACAGTTATATATTTATTTCTGTCTTGGTATCTGCCCTCTTTCTTTCTTCCCAATGGAGAAATTGAACCAAGTGATTTCTAAAAGGTTTGACTGAATTTGAAATTAGGTACTATGCTTCCTCCAGTGAGCAATTTCCCCATCCAAAGTCTACATCATGTTGCAGGGACCCATTTCAAGGTACTGGGCAATCTTCCATGCATACTGAAGGATGCTGTCTGGACTGGGCTGTGTCCTGGGCAGCCTGATCACTCCATGAGTTTCCTGAGCTGATGGGAATGATGCATCTCGATGGCTGGGGGCCAAGTCTCAGGAGAGATATCCCTCAAATTCAGGAGATTTATAATTTAACACATCAGACTTTTTGTCTGCTTTCCCAGTT